TATAAACAAAAGTAGCTAAATACTGTTTTCAACATATTTATCTATTTGACATGTCCCGTCTAATTTAGAAGCTGTTTGCTTTAAATTGCTGCAAATACTATAAAATTAAAGTAATCCTTATTGGTTATGGTTTTAATTAAAATGATGTCAATACCATACAAAAGGCTACTTATAGGCTAAGGTTTTTGTTTATAGGGTCCTGACTTCTGTTTCTAGGGTCCCTGACTGTAATGTCTAAAATTTCCTGTTATCTCCTTCATTTCTCACTTTGCCTGGTCCCAAATCAGTTTCCTACTTATTCTGTCCAAACTTATAAAATATTGACAGACCTTTGCTTGTTGCTCCGTGCCCTGACAGAGCACTACTGTTCTGATAGTGTTGTCTTTTTCTCTCTCTTTCTCTGCTTAAGGATCAAAGACGTTTAACTGTATTTTGTTCCGGACTGTTTGAAGCAGTTTGTTTAGGGAGTTTTGCAAGTCTGTTAATTCATTACTAATTAAAAATAAAACAATGATTATGCATGACAAATAATCCTAACCTCCTTTTTTATCAACAGAAAGGTCAAAAATCAATTTTCTTTCCATTTTGAACAAAAAGTCAAAATTTTTCTTGTCTTCATAATGTATGCTGTTCTTGTTATTCCCCCTCTTAAGGAAGGACTTTAACAGAAAATGCTCTCAGAATATTCAACAGCTTAAGATCATAGCAGGTTAGATTTACACAGTGGCAGTCAAAAAAAATCCAGGATCTGTTCCATGATGCCAGCAACACCAGGAGCATATGGCAAAGCATAAAGGTATTTACAGTATACAACTCTACAAGTCCCCAGTTGGACTCAACAACTTCTTTGGGAGGTTTGAGGCACCAAACAGGATTCCAGCAGTGAAAGCTGTTTCCCATGTGTGGATGTTGTTCCTGAACTTCAGTTTAGCTTTCAACACCATCATCCTACAGCATCTGATAGGGAAACTGGAACATCTGGGTGTCAACACACCCCTCTGCAACTGGCTGCTAGACTTCCTCACCAACAGTCGTCAGTTGGAAAAAAAACATCTCTGATGTCATCGCCACGAGCACAGGGTCCCCTTAGGGCTGTGTCCTGAGCCCCCTTCTGTTCACTCTGATGACACATGACTGCGTCCCCAGGTTCACCATCAATCAAATCGCGAAGTTTTGCAGATGACACTAAGGTGGTGGGCTTCATCAGAAACTACAATGACCAGGACTACAAAGAGGAGGTGGAGCAGCTGGTGAGCTGGTGTAGAGACAACAGCCTGACCCTGAATGTGGAGAAGACAAAGGAGATCATAGTCGATTTCAGGAAGACCGGCCTAACCACACTCCACTGCTCATTAACAGCTCAGCTGTGATGGTGGTGAGTTAACACCACCTCACTGGTCAAGAGCGCAGAGAACCACTTGAACTTCCTGCAGAGAATGAGGAGAGCTCACCTGCCCATTGAGGAACCCACCTGCGCCATTATTTTTAAACTGGTTTCTTTTCTCCTAAACTGTTTACTTTCTGACCACTGCGGCACTTTATAAATGGCAATGTTCATTTCACAATTTCAATGTTGTAAGCTGTATGCAATGGAATTCCGAATCAAACAAGGCTTTCCCCAAAAGGATTACCAATTATTAATGTAGCTCACGTTGTTTTCAGGACACCACCTGGACAACCAGTGTTTGAATGACGACATGCGGCTAAACTTATCATCACTGCTCAGATTAGGGAGGGGACCAGAGAAAATTATGGAGTTCGTCATTGTTGTATTGGCAAACTTACACAAGCAACACTAATTTTAGTGACCTCCGATCAGCGTAACCACGTGTCACTACCACCAGTGTCATTAACAATCTTATAGTATTTATCCTTATCCTAAACAGCAGTTTCAGGTAGGATTTGATGTCGCCTGTTCTGGCCCCCGGCAAACATTTGACTATGGTCCCTGTTGTCTCAAATGCCACGTTTCTGACTATGGAGGTGCCAATGACCAGAGTGGGCTTGTCAGTGGGTGTGTCACTGAATGGGGAAAACCGCTTAGAGACGTGCAAGGGTTGGTGGTGACCATTGGGCAGAGATCCACCGGTCACCACCAACTCGTTCACGTTTCTAATCGATTTACCCCACTCAGTGACGAACCCCCTGAATAGCCCACTCTGGTGCGTCACTGAGTGGGGAAAATCAATTAGAAATGTGAACGGGTCAGTGGTGACCAGTGGGCAGAGATCCATGACTACTTTTTCTGCGTACTGTTACTCAATCGCCTGGCTGCTCAGGCACTTTTGGAGGACAGCTACGTGGGGGGCCTACTTTAACTCCTGGATGTTCAACAGCCTGAAGCCTGGATTCTAGCTCTTACACCCTTGCCTCCAAAGCTAAAAAAATACTACACTTATTACACATGCCATTATCACTAAAGGAGGCAGAGCAATAACTGAACATCTGACACAGAGAGCAGGACAGAGGAGAGGAAGAAGTAAGAGTTGGAAAAGAGTCAATGGAGGGAGAAAGAGAGGCCATAGCGATGCTAAGTTAGGCTATCTACTCCTTATATAAATAAAACCGTGGCCGTTTCTAAATATGCGTTCTTGAGCGTTCTTGTGTGCTTGTGACACGTCATTAGCCTAAGCCCGAGCACTGTTCCAATTGCAGAGAACGCCTGACCGAGAACGTACCAAATCCCCGGATGTTGTTCTCGCCCCGCCCTCTTTATTGAGTATGCATCAGAGCAGACTTGTCCATTCTTGAGATTGACAGCTGTCCCAGCATGCACGGCGGCAGCAGCAGCTTTCAATGGAGCGCTCCATTGAATGTTAAAAGTTCTCTTTTCTGTTGCTTTTGTTCAAGTACGTTTTAAGATCATTTGAGGCGAGAATATTATACTTTAAAGCATCGCTCTATGGTCCATTTACTGATTGAATGCGTAATTAAAAAACAGATTTCCAAAGTTGAGAGGACCGCGGCAACCAGTGGAGCTCCAAATCTAACAGCAGCCAGGGCTAACTGCAGCCCGTCTGCAGCAGCCCTTTTTTTTTTTATTTGGCAAAATGTTAATTTCAATTCAATTCAATTCAGTTTATTTATATAGCGCCAAATTCACAACACATGTCATCTCAAGGCACTTTACAGTTTAACCAGATCATACAGTCAAATTGATACAAAGTTTTCTATCTAAGGAAAACCAGTTGATTGCATTGACTNTACAGTTTAACCAGATCATACAGTCAAATTGATACAAAGTTTTCTATCTAAGGAAAACCAGTTGATTGCATTGACTCATTGACTCAAATACAATCCCCCACACTAAGCATGCTTGAGATAACACAGTCAGATAATTTGTGTTTATCTGACTGTGTTAAATATTATTCCACAGCCAAATTAGAAAAGTCAGAACTTATTATTATCTAGAGACTATTAATAACATTAAGTGAAATGCAGCTCTAGAAGAGCTGAGCGTGTGGTGACATCACAACTACGCTTCTGTTCCAATTGACCCATATTTATGCTGCGTGCTCCCGTAATCACCAAGTCCAGACTTTCCTGTGTTCTTCTCAAGATCCTACTTGGCGAGAACACCAGTCCTTACTCGCGTTCTAGTGAATTGAGAAACGGCCCGTGTGAAACTGACAAGTAGAGAAGTGCAGCCGAAGGCGCTATGTTTTCAAAGTGGTTCTGGACATTTAGAGTTATTTAGATACAGAGATGTCACAGAAAAAAATTATTTATTTTAGATGGAGATAGTCTGCACAGCAACAGCACTGCTCAGTAGTCAAAACAGGAATTAAACATGATATTTCTCTCCAACAGCAGCAGGAGCACTCTCTATTGGCAGGCAAGGATCAAATAAATATTATATTTTCTTATTCCTTAAAAGATGACTTGAAAATTATACTGAACTTAATTGCGTTACAGGGTATACTTTGGTTGTGCCAATAAGGAAAATAATTCACTTGAGGTAATACAGTATAACTTTCCGGTATAACTGCGCTTCGACTTGGTGATCATTTGAGGTAAGTGAAAAAGATGTTTGAGCATCTTTAGTACGTGTTGAATACAGATGTTGAATGCATACAAAACATTTATATACTCTCTTAAGATAAAAGGTTTACGACAACTTATTGGTTACTTTTGCCTTTATTGTGTTCACGCTCAGAACATAGCACCAAGAATTCAGGCGAGATAGACAGTGGTATATTCAAAAAAGAGTTTATTCATAAAGCGTGCGGCTGCTTATCTGTTGTGGCGGGCTCACTGGAAACTCAGTCATAAAAGGGTCAGGTCAGTGACTTCAAAACTCAATTGATGGATGATAATTAGTATGAAAGCCACCAACCTGGCAAAGTTCAGTCTCTGCCCATAAGGAGTGTCATCCAGAGCAGCGGAACTGCACAAAAGATCCAGGAGAAAACAGAGGCAGTGTCCTTCAGCAACCAGTGTACGCATGGAGCCGCTAGATCCATGAGGGTAATCCAAGCCGTGGCCAGAAGACAGGTTTAGGGTCAGCGCCAGGCAGAATACAGTTATCAGTCCAGATCAAACAGAACAGGCAAACAAAGCAAACGGGGCGGTTGAAAAACTCAGTGGTCCGTGGACATAAAACAGATCAGGAGGAGGCAGAACCAAACAAAGGAAATGCTAAAGGTAGTCTTCCTAGAAAGGTGGAATAAGCTGGCACAAAACGCTGGGATCCAGAGGCTTAAATAGCAGCAGGTGCAGGTGGATGAGATGAGAGCTAATGAGCAGAGGTCAGAGCAAAGCAGAGGAGAGCAACAAAACCCAGACTTAAGATCATTACATATGATCTTGGCACCTTAAGTCTGTTTTTTTTTTCTTCATGAATATTTACTGATTAAACTGGCTCTGAAACTTGAGCAACTGAAACTTCTTATAAAAAAAGATTTATATCTTACTATGTTTTATGTCTTGATTAGATTTTTAGATAGCAGAGAAAGAAATTTTCTATTTTTATTATTTTGGTGATTTCTGAGTCTACTCACCCACTGAAATGGTCCACACAGCCATGATCTTAATTCGAGCCTTAGTGTGAGAATTAAAACGGCTGTGGTGGATCGGGTTTCTTATGGCGATGTATCGATCCAGTGAAATGGCGCAGAGATGCATGATGGATGCTGTGGAAAACAGCACATCCAGGTAGATCCAGATAGGACAAAGGTCAAAGGGGAGAGGCCATTTGTAATCTACAGAGAAGGTGCAGAAAAATAAGAACAAATATCTTTAGTATGGAACACCCCATCTGTGGAATCAGATTTAGAATCAGAATAGCTTTATTTGTCAATTCTGCCTGGACTTTGCACTCTAGTAGGGCGAGATTGAGTTTCAGTACAACCCATCAACACAATACAAAGACACTGGACATAGAGTGACACGCTGGCCACAGCCTTTCTATTTTTACAGGTGCTGCCCTTACATTAGTTAATAAAAATACAAGAGGAAATAATCACAATGGGTAAAAAGAAGGTAAAAAAAAAAATCACATTCTACCCAATACCCTTGCAGGATACAGTTGAGAATGCAAAAAACCTCAGAGGAGCAACACAGATACAGATACAAACCAACATATTGCAGAGGATTGGTTTATAAAGAACTGCCCTAGAGGCCATTGTTCTTGATATTACGTAGTAGTATTTATCAACAAGCCACATTCAAAGATTTCCTCAAGGAAGGTACAGAGGGAGTAGAGCACCACGTTTACATAATATCCAGGAGAAATGGAAGTTATTTGCCCCTCAAAGATGTGCAGGGATTATCTTGCAACAAAAATAATTGCTCAAAAATTAAATTATGTACACATCTTCTAAATGCTTGACTGACAACACCAGATACATAATCTTCCAGTGCTGCCAGGAATCCTTTGTGTATCAAGAAAAAAAAAAGTCTTGTCTGGACAGGAGGCTACCCTTAAGCCCCTTAAGCTTACAGTTAAGAAAACCTGATCAATTGCATTGAGGGACCAGCTGACCAGAGCCATAACTCCTTCTGCTTTTGGAAGTTATGTTGCCAGGGCTCACCCACCACTTCAAAATGGTGTGTTGGTTGGGGACAGATTCCTTGGATTGGGAAACTGGGATGCTGGTTCTTCTTAATAAGAAGGGAAACTGAAGGGTGTGTTCCAGCTAAAGGGGAATGACATGAATGGCCTTCAACTGATACGAAATGCTGCAGCCAGAGTTCTGATGAAAATTAAAAACTGAGATCATATCTCTCCTAGACTTCTTTGGCTTCCTTTTAAATCAAAAATAGAAGTTAAAATCCTCCTTCTCACATATAAATCCTTAAATAGGCAAGCTCCATCTTATATCAGAGATATGAATGTTGCTTATGTTCCTAACAGAGCACTTTGCTTTCAATCTGCAGGCTACTAGTGGTTCCTATTCAATTTTCAGTTCAATTCAGTTTATTTATATAGGGCCAATTTACAACACATTTCATCTCAAGGCACTTTACAGTTCACCAGATCATAAAGTCAAATTGATTTAAAGTTTTCTTTCTGAGGAAAACCAGTTAATTGCATCGACTCATTGACTCAGACGCAATCCCTCACACTAAGAATGCTTGTAGCGGCAGTGGAGAGGAAAAACACCTTTTAACAGGAAGAAAACTCGAGCAGAACCAGGCTCAGTGTGAGCATAGAATAGAATAGAAGGCAAATCTTTTAATTATTAGGCTCCTCTCCTTTGCAACCAACTAGCAGTTTTAGTCTGTGATGCAGAGAGCCTGTTTGCTTTAAAGGGTAGGCTTAAAATTTTACTTTTTTGATAAAACTTATAGTTAGAGTGGCTCTGGTTATCCTGAGCTATCTTTATAGTTATGCTGCTATAGATTTAGATCGCTGGTGGACATAGAGACCCCTTTTTCATCATTCTGCTTCATTTTGTCTCTATTCGTCCACTCTGCAGAATTTGTTAGTTCAATCTCTAACACTATGCTCTCTCTGCTTTTTTCATAGTAGCTTCATCTGGCCTCATCTTTTCTTGGGTGGCAGTGACAATACCCTAAAGAGAAATATCGACTGTGCTGCTGCCACAAACACCTTTTTTTTTATAGATGTTTGAGAGCTGCCTATTTGTCAGAGTAGCCCTGTTTGACTGCGACTTGCTGGATCTACTCTCTTCGTCTTTTGACAGGAGCTGGCTCGGAGCACCTCTTCCTGGCTCTGTGTTTCCTGGAGGGGGCCACCTTTGGAGCTGGTTTACAGTTGCCTTTTGTAACTCTGCTTCTTTTCCATGTCTACCTTTGTCTCCTTGAACCCCAGTTGGCCTTGGCAGATGGCCGTTCACACTGAGTCTGGTTCTGCTGGAGGTTTCTTCCTATTAAAAGAGTTTTTCGTCTCCACTGTCGCTACAAGCATGCTTAGTGTGAGGAATTGTCTTCCAGTCAATGGGTTGATGCAATCAACTGGTTTTCCTTTGATAGAAAACTTTGAATCAATTTGACTGCATGATCCGGTTGAATTGTAAAGTGCCTTGGGATGAGATGTTGAGAATCTGCGCTATATAAATAAACTGAATTGAAATAGAAATTTCAATATGAGTTTCATCATCAAAAATTCTGTTCTGTCTGCCTGAATTCTGGGTCCATTTGTCTTAGCCCTGACACTAGGAGGTGACTTTAATAGACTTGCTGCACATCAGTGGCTATGAAAAGCTAATTACACCCTGATCAAGCCCTGATTAAGGTTATGAGTCAATCAAACACACACACTAAATCGTTGCTAAATATGACAGAGTATAGTCATTTATATTTGTGGAAACCACACTGCTGCAAAGAGCAATGGAATACAGTACTGAATGTTAATATGAATAGTAAGATTTTAAGTCTAATACATTAATGAGAGCACATCTTTAGGGACCATTTATATAAGGGCAGTTTAAACTACATATTAAAGGCACTGACTGCTTAAGCCAAAGTGGGTAATACAGATAATAAAAGAAAGGGAAAGCAAGTTTAGGTAGAAACTGTTTTAACAGCTATGCCGCAACAGTTGTCGTAATCATTGAAATATTTACAAAAAAAATTGTAACAGAACAGACCATAAGCTGGGATAAAGAAGTCTTAGACAGTAACTGGTAGAGGTTGAATTGATTCTAAGTAATATAAAATACCATGTTTTGCTTTGGTTTCTTACAGAGAGAAGGTTCTATGTCATTTTTATAGTTTTTAAAAATATTTTTAACACAACATTCAAAGTACCACCATTCCTTATAAATAAAATTGGGGTTTCCTATTCTTAAATGTGATTGCCTGAGCCACATTCCATCACTGCTGTAAAATATAGAGTAACCCACACTTAGATCCAGTTAGACAGCAGCACAAAATATCCCTGTGCCAGTGTCAACGGGGTTGCACCACCAAGACCATCTGAGAGCATCCAGCTGAGCAACATAGTGAAAACATTTCCCATTGCTGCCCTGATTCAAGAATTAAATCCACAAATCCTTAAATAATCTTATCTGATTTTGTTTTATGAGTAACTTTCATATATCCAAACTGAGTGGTAGATAATAAGACCTAAGCCTGAAAGTCTATGCTCATAAATCACAACCATAAAACAGCAACACAACTTATAACACTACTTACAATATATCTAACCATCTGAAGATATGAACTAAAGGTCAACAGTCAGTTCTAAAAACAGTGTGAACCCATGTTTCTTTATGTGAACCCATCATTCTATCACTGTACCAGATTATCATTCTGTTTAATTTTATCTGAGTCTATTTACTCATGCCAGCTGCAGCCAATGGTCAGTCTTACTTTTTGGTGATTACGTTGGTTTCTGTTACATTTCCCGTCCTCATCTTTAGTTACACAAAACACATCAAATCCCTTTTTTTATCACAATGATTAACCCAATTCAAATCAAATTAATCAATTAACACTATTACCATAACACAGGGCAGCTGTAATTGGTTGTGATAACAAACTTCCTCGGCTGTTTTAAAAGTGGTGCACTCTGCTCCTCGCTAGAGAATGACACGGGAGTGGATTTTCACTCCTGTCCCGTCCCACTCCCACAGAAAAAAATTGTGTCCCGTCCCGATCCCGGGCCAGAGTAGAAATCTAAATCCTGTCCCGTCCCACTCCTGGTGAAATTACTCCCACTCCCATTCAGAATGACTCCCGCTCCTGCACCACTCCCATTCTTGTTGTTTTTGAGTGCGGGTTAAAAACTCAGAGTGGAAGCACTGTTGGTTTTTGGGTCGTGTCGTTTTTTTGACTCGCATTATAGTGTAGGCTTTAAGGAAAAAAACTACAAAATGGCGGCGCCAGTACTGGATATTATTCTATTTTATTTTATTTTTTTGGCATTGATACTAGTTTTTTTTTAGTTACTATTGGTTTTCTCCTGCTCCCGTCTGCTCCCGTTAATGTTTAATACTGTACCGTCCCAATCACGTGATCGTTACTAATACTGACACCCATCCCACGGGAATCCCACGGTAATCCCGTGACCCGTGGGTTTCCCGAAAAAATGTCAGTCTCTACTCCTTGCCTATATGTTAACAGCTGCCAGCAAGCTACTTCAATTCAAGTCACTTTATTCATTTACAATATATGTAATCTCAAGACACTTTACAGAGACAATTCAATATCTAACAGCTCTTTCTGTGCACAGCATGCTCATGCATTCTTTCTACCGTAATAACAGTCTACACACAACATTTACCCTCTCATTCCTTAAACGGTAAAATCGGGGACATTTGCGGGGACAGCTTTAGGTGATCCAAAACAGGGACTTTCCCTGGAAATCAGGGATGTCCGGTCACTACGCTAGCCTCAACCAGCTGCTACCTCTTCCTGACTGGCTTCTCCATTGCACAGCTGTCCTACTCATGGTCTGCTGCAGCCCTCTCCCCTGCCTTCAGCACCGCCCGGCAGACTTAGCTGATCTTGATCCATCCTGCTTCAATCCTTCGCAGTTAGCTTCTGTAGCAAGCCCAAGCCAGGAACAACATCTTTTCAATGTTCAATGTTCTGTTAGACTGAAGCTACCCTTCTCCGATCTACTGCTGTGCTCTTGAACTCAGCTCCTAAGCTAGCACCGGCTAGGTGCTGGGTGGCTGTGGTTACTTAACTCCAGACCAGGGCACAGCTGGCCCCGGCTCATCCTGTTTCTAGTACGAACATGGACCAAATATAGGAGAAAGATCAATTCACTTCAGTTTATTTATATAGC